AGAGGTAACTTGGAATTCTGAAGGAAAGAAGGAAAGTGGGAGGTCAAAGAATACATTACATAATGAAAATAGAAACAGATATGCAAAGGATGAATAACTACTAGAAAGAACTGGAAAGGATTGTCCAGGACAGAGTTGGATGGAGAATGCTGTTGGTCGTCCTGTACTCCTCCACGAGGGTTAACAGGCCCAAGTAGGTAACCAATCACCGCATTTGGTAAACAAAACTAGGACTCAAAAGGTATTCTTAAAGCCGCCAATCGGTTTCATATAAACACCTATAGCAGAGTACGGTTAAGTCTAAACTTTGGGAGCAACACTACTTCCATGGAACTTAATCGTGGCTGACGTCTTGATACCAACTACTAGCATTGATGGATCAGAGTATTCTCTATCGGTTATAATTTGGCAGTCAATAAAAATGTACAATGATTAAATTTTCTGAGATACATCTTTGACGTAAAGCTGCTACAAAAGATTCACTGTAGAAATAAGCAACCATACTTAGGATCTTAGCTTTTCTTTAACTGAGTTTCGTCAGTTGGACTTCATCCTATGCAAATATATTCCTTTGGGAACAATGGAACTTCGAAAAAGTACATAAGGACCCTTTTCCAACGTGTAAAAGAGCACTTACCAGTGTAGCTTATTGAAAAGTAATGTGGACATACACAGTTTATTCGTGAACATTTGATTGACGACAAACACGAATTATTCGACCTATCATTCAAAATCATTTATAAAATTAAACCAAATCTACTGAAAGGTGTAAACACTTTTTTTATAAATGAAATACTGAGGATACTCAGACTAAAGTGAGATATGTACGCAGAAACTGTCTGCAAAGAATATTTTCTCTGTTATGGCCCTAGATTTTTAATATTCCTGTACTTTCCTCCACGTTTTGTTTATCTATTAATATGAATTGTATCCCGTGAATTCATCATTACACAAATGCATACAAATTATTCACCTCAATATTCCATATAGATATGAGTTTACAGCTTTTAAAAACCCGGTCATGAAAAAAAGTTTCACTAAAATGTTCGCTCTATTTTTACGATTATAGTGTGTACTTTTTTCTACATCCATGCCAAATTTTTTGTACTACTTTTGATGATGGCTTGTATGTGTCGGTCTAATTAATTATAGAATGTCGGGCTGAAAATGAAATTCGACCCAGAGAGCTTGTTCGCTGTCTTGAGTGTGGACACAGAGTCCTATACAAGAAACGGTCAAAACGAAGTAAGTCAAGTAGAAGCCCTTTCTCCACCGACTTTTTATATGAAACAGTTCTTAATAGTCCTAAATATTATTATCTTATGTCGGACAACATTTCATACCAGTTTTATGTCAGCATATTGTTTTTATATTAGTAAAGTGTGAAGAGTGGTCAGGCCATGTATAATCACTATGGGACCATTGACTAGTTGTCTAAATCATGTAATGGGTGATTACTTAGTGTTTACAGTTTTCGACTTTCAACCATTGCGCCATAGTTTAGACGGCAGTATTACCGGCGCACACACAAAATAAAGCGATTCAAAACAAGCTGATAAAAGTGTTTGGTAAGTTGCACTAAACAATAAATCTACGGGTTAGGATTTGCGAAATGATCATTATCTGTATTTTGAAGGAAAATTACATGGTTCCATATCGGTTCTAGTAGCTCAAATGCACTCATTACTTATCTTGCTCTTGAACCCAGGATAACTGAGTCAGCTGTGTTGAAGCTAGGTACAGTGCTTTAGACAAAAATGGCGAATCAGTTAACAATGTTGTGGATCTGCACCCCCAACTACAACTTAATATAACTTTGTAAAGTTACTAACAGTTAGTTTAAACGCATAGACTCAGATTTTTCAAACGTTGTTCTCTATATGATGAAAATCATTGGTTAGAGACTCTAAGTGCTATAGCTCACAGTTGATTAGAATGGTGAAGGTCTATTCACTCCCAATCTTCTAAATCAATTCCTATTGTCAACTTATGTAAAATTTTTATTTTAATGGCTTCCTTTTTTGTTTGTTTTCCTATTGTGTGCTGTTGTGAATTGTGACACCATAAGCTAATAAACTTTTGTGTAATACTTTTAATTGGTACATATGTCTGTCACAGGGATCACAGTAGTTTAGAGCCCCCTTCTGCGTTATTAGTTTACTTACATTTTCTTGAAATGTATTTTTGAGTTTGAACTTCATTTTTATGTTAAGTAACAGGGAGTATGCGCAAGATTGTTTGCCAGAAAAATGAAGAAATTAACGTTTTTATAATTTATAACAATATAGGGCTAAATTTATGTTGGTCAAACGAACGAAAGATAATGAATCGAATATTTTGAGGGACTAACGCATACTGGTCATTTTGTAAAATGGTGACTGATTGGTTATAGAACTCGCTTTCCAACCAATAGGTCACAGGTTCGAACGCTCACACATGTAGCTCAAATCTGAGTGCATAAACTTGTACTAAACAATCGAACTACATCAAATTATTGTTGTGCCGACCACTGGTCGCTTCGATCTGTCATATCCCTCCAGATTTTATCCCTCTGTATCACTCGCCTGGACTTTCTGACGACACTTATAACAGTATTAAGAAACATTCACTATAATTTAACTTCAGAGTTTCATTAAATACTTAGTGATAACTTCACCCTTTATAAACCTTTATGTAATTTGTAAGTTCTCTTTTATACTATGATTTTTGCAGTTTACATGAAAATTATTTCACTCTCAGTGTCATGATGCATAAGAATTCGTAGACGATTTGTAGATGGTATAAACGTATCTAAAGATAGTTGATATGACAAACAAGTGTGGTTCTTCCGATACAATTACGCTTATCAAAAAAAGTTGAGTAGTTTTATTCCTTCATATAATACCTTCAAATCCCAAAATTTTGACTTGCAGTATGCTTATAATGAATTTTTTGTCTTAGAGTTTAGTTTAAATAAACATTAGCTTCAGACAATTTGACATTTTTGTATTCTCATCGTTTAATCGATCTAAACATTCCTCTATTTTAGTGAGTGTTTTCGAGGCTCGATGATAGCAATACAACCCCTATTGGATTTCAGTGTAATTTTGTAAATATTTCGCGAAATATAGAGATGTTATTTTGTGCAATGATCTTTTTATTCTTTCTGAAGTTAACTGATCTTGTGTATGCAAAGGGTGACTGTGTTTACTTCTACTTACCAGTTCCATTCCTATCTGCTGCATAATTTTATTTGATAAGTAATTAGACTATAATTTATCGTAAACATTGTTATGCATACTTCACCCATCACACAAGGTAAACTTTTGTGGTACTATGTAAATTGTGCAATGCGCTAATCTCTCGTTCTTTGTAAAGTTAAAGCGACTGGATTTTTTTTCACGTATTAGTAAACGCATTTCATTTAATGTGACATCAATGTACATAATAGGGATTTGTTTGGTCCGTCAACATATTGAAAAATGGACACATAAATAACTCAGATGAAGTGAGATGATACAGCCACACTTCACTAAAAATGGACAATACAATTGGGTAGGTTTGTTCTAAATCACTGCTACTCCATATCTTTGCGTTGTGGTAAATATCTTTTTGCTCAGAGAAAGGTTTTTCAACGTTGAGTGTGCAGGCGATATAGTCTGTTTAAAACATAATTAGCCAATTAGCGACTAGTGTCTGTAGATGTGACATAAATATGGAATACCTTTGACACTAACCCTAGTTTAACTGTAAAACGTCGGATATATAACACTGCGGTGCAAAAAATCTGACTATACGCTAGCGAAATGTCTATCCGAGTTGCGGTACATTACGACTGTCAGTGTGCATAAAAGATTGTTTACATTTGTTGGAAGCAGCGTACAAGTAGTTCATAGGTTAAATCATGTCCAGTCATAGTAGAGACGACTTAGTAAATGTCATCTCGAAACATTGGTTTCTGTGTCTTGAATAGGTTTTGGTCATGACTTCCCGACAGTTTCCACGCTGAGCAAAGTCTGGCAGTATTGAGAATGACATGGATATGTAAACATAATCGATTTGAAATATGGTGGAGGATTGTGTCGAATTGTATTTTGTTAAAACATCACTACTCAGTAGGTAGAGTTACACATAACACTTGGAAACGTTAACTGATCGACACTCATTGAAATGCTACAAACATGCATTCCAAGTAAAGACTGATGTCAGACAAGGTTGCTTATTCACGACTTTCTTCTGGTTGTCGACTGAATTATGAAGACCTCCACATCTCACGGGGAGCATGGAATACAATGAACAGCTTGAGTGCAGCCAGACGATTCGGACTTCTCAGATAACCTAGCTCTTCCATTCCATACACAACAACAAATGAAGGGAAAGACAGCCAATGTAGCACCAGCTCCTGCATCAATAGGTCTCAAAATACGCAAGGGAAAAGCAAGAAGTTGAAATACGACACAGCGAGCACCAACTCAATCACACTTAATGGAGAAACTCTCGAGGATATGGGAAGTGATAAACACAGAGGATCTGATGCAGATGTGAAGGCACGGATTGACAAAGCAAGAATAGCATCCATACAACTGAAGAACATCTGAAACTCAAGGGAGAGAGAGAGAACTGTCAGCTAACACCAAAGTCAGAATTTTCAGTGAAACCGTCAAGGCAGTTCTATTGTAAATTGAGCAAACTTTGCATCATAGTCTTAAAATTGAAGAATCAATAGTTCTTTATGTGTCATGGCCTACTGTCATTAGTTATGCAGTTGATATTAGTTCTTTATGTTTGAATCCACGTTGACGATTTTTTGTACACGATCAGACTCAACTGGTTTTTTTTACCTAAATGAAATAGAGATTAAGGTAGATAAAAAAGTGTAAAGCATACGAATGTTTCTTCGATACTTTATTAATTTATAGCTTTATTAATTTAGCCTATTTGAACCATAAGTTGATTTAGAATACCTATTAACTTCGATAGGAATATACATATACAGCAATATTTTAGAGTGATACAAAGCGTTATTTATGATCTTTAAAGCCTCGTAGAATACTCGCCCATGCCTTAGCCAATTCACGGTAAAAGTCGCGCATTACTTCAGCCATATAACGGGGATCCCATAAACTCTGACTATTATCCTCAGTTTGTGGTACGTCGTCTTTGTTTTCATTTTGAGTCGTAGTAGGATCACGTTTGTTTTGATCATTTGCGTGTGATTGTTTAGCTTTTATTACTTGATCAACAGCTGTTTTACTATTCAAATGAAAGCGCTGCATTTGATGACTAGGGACTAATAGATTGTATTGATCAAGTAATCGGTTTAATTCTTTTACTTCTACCTCAAAATCCTGTTGAAAATGTGAAAAAAAGATAAACACTTATAATGAACTAAGTGACATATACTGCTTTGAACAAATTTTATCATATCCAAAACAATTGTTATTATTTGAATGTTAACTTGAATTTCAAGTCGTTGAATAATAATCTGAACTGTTCAAGGGAAACTTAAACATCCTAGTTTATACTTATATGATATTTGTAATCCATGGTTGGTGACCTTGGACGATATGACTAGAAATCGGTCTCAACAGTGCAGTTGGGTTCATTTTTTGTTTTCCTCCTTGATCTTGAGTTTAGTGTGCTAGTTTACACTTAACACTTCTAGACGTTCTCATTTACTTAAGATGTACAATCGTATTTATAGTCAATTTTATTGAATAAAATAGTGTTCTATAGAGAGATAGGAAAGTGTTAATTAAAACACTTGAAGTGGCATGTTGTCAAGACTTGAAAATTAGGTGTTGAAAGGAAGTTATATAATGATCGGTTAGTGAAAAAGTGGTAAGGTGGAATAATTGTCCGCTTGATAGTTATTAACGACAGAGTAATTAGAAGTTGTGATACTTACTTTTCAATAGTTGTGAAAATAATTGTAAAGTAGTAGGAAGGATAAAGTGAATGATAATGAATAAAAACGACGGATTATGGAAGATAGAAAGGGAAGTTAGGGTCATAGAGGAGTGAGGAATTGAACATATTGTTTTCGTACGCGAAGGTTATGCTTAAACTGGTGAATAGCAATCACCTCTGCCGTACATAAATTTCTTCATTTGCATTCCCTTTCAGTCGACTCTTTTGACTCTATGTATAATTCTGAAGGAGGTGTCTGGTGAAGTGGAGTAGCCGGAATTGACTACATGCTTCAAGCTTGAACTTTTGACTGAATTCTGTAATGCTTTGGAGGTCCAGTGAGGGTAATGTTCCCAAATGCGTTTCGGAAGAACTCATTTTATTCGGCCAATATCACCTGCTTCACATGAATAAGTAGACTGATAGATGCACATACAATACGATTGTACAGCTTAAGTAAATGAAGTCGAAAAGGAAATCTTCGCCGAGTTGCCTTTCTTCTTCAATAACACGATAGGTCTCTTTCGTTATACATTATGAAGGTCAGCAATCAGTGAAACTATGACAAAAGGATAGAAATCATCGACAATCTTGCGAAAGAGGTGTTAGAAAATACACTGGTGGACAGTTCAAGAAGCCTAAAACTGCACTTCAGTGAATCATCAAACTTCTACTTAAGTTGAGAAGACTGCAAAAAAACTAGGACTAGACAAACCGTCGAAGTCTGATTATCTGTTGATAGAAGCGGCTTGGAACTTTATGCGAATTCCCAGTCCCTTATGTTCACTTATTTCTTATTTTGTTAATAAGTGTAGCAATCTCAGTCTGCCCATTTATTAACTAGTTTCTATAAAGGTTCATTTATTTGTCTGTCCTATAATTTTGGTACCCATTAGTATTGTACATCTACAGTTTCATATAAACTTGAGCTTGGGACCTGGTTTTGTAATGAATGTGTTACCTTAAGACAAATGAGTCGGAAATCCAGTGGTTTACTTTTCCAACTACAGTTAACTAGTGATTATAACACTGCTATGATTACACCTTTTAATTATTCAAGAAGAGTATCTGTTGTTGTCGTCATAAAGATCGCTTACCTTACAAGCTTCTGCCCATATTGAAGAATGTAAATTAGATTCTACATTATAGATTGAATTTAACTTATCAATAGCGATATTCCAACGAGAATTAACTTCTTTATTTAACAAAACCCATTTCGGTAGAAAACCTTGATTAGCCATTAATTGATTAAGACGTTTGTCAGTTGAGTCCCCAAATACATGAGGATTTTTATCATAATCAATTGGACGACCTTGACCAGGTAAATTATTAAATTCTCCATGATTCATTGCTCTTTGAATTTGTTCTTCAGCTGTACGTGAAATGTAATCTACATAGACAGGCTAAGTAATTTTTTAAGAAAGAGGATAAATAAAACATTACATATCGTCAAAAAAAGAATTCGGGATTGGTTAAGTTGATATAATCATTGGAAATTATCTATAGAGATTTTTTATATATGATAAAAGGTTCCAATAAGCATTTTGCTATTCTGAACAATAGAAATGTTGGTACACTGGAAAATCTGCCTTACCCTTCCTCAGTAATGAAAATTTCTAGAAATCTAGCAATAGTTTGTGGATCTATTCCTAAAAAAGTTAAACAATTATCTTTGGCTTGAATAACTTCAATCTATATTCGTTGGAATTTATATGCCAGTGTCGATGACATCTAAGTAAAAACGGTGTTCAGTTGTTTTCGAGATGTACTGAAGAAATGGTAGCACATGTTTTATACTAATAAGTAGACTACAGACTCATTAGTTGGAACAGCACGGTAGGATAGTGAATCGGTTTAGGAAAATATGAGTTCAGGTATACAGCCTGTTTTGTTTACTGTTTGATTAATTTACATCTGTAAAGATCGATCAACTTAAACTTTTATAGCCACCAAATATATTAATCGCAAATTTACTATAGAAACTATTGATTTTGGAAGCTTGACCGGGTAACGATTTGAGTAGCTAGTGCAATTGACCATAAACTGAAATTAGAAAATTATGAAGCACGAATCATAGTACTAGATAACAACGAGTAATATGTTAAAATCTCAGCATAGGCAATCCTATTGGTTGATCATGAGAACTCAGTTTCATAACTGAAATCCAGTCGTAGCATGCCAATAAAAACAAACAAATGAAACTGATAACAAATAAATTTTGGAGGTTTTTAACCGTAGTCAATCAATTTACTTATATTTGAGAACATAGCTTTGTTGAAATCATGAACTGACGAATGTTAGACCACCATCAAAAACGTGAAAGCACTAGATAGCCATTTCGTCCCAGTATGGGACTCAGCAATGCGGATTCAAGACTCGGTACATCCAATCATACTTCATAAATCTTTGTGATGGTATGTGAATGACACATTTACTAAGTTGGAATAGTACAACGCATCAAGAGCGTTTTATTACACACATTAACTCAATGGCAAATGTACTAGGATTTCTTAGCGGAGTAAACAAAACCAGTCAAAAAAATAACTACGTTACATGAAAAAAGAAAGTTGTGATGGAGAGTTGTAATTGGTTTCCACACAGAAAAACGATATTTAAACTACAGGCCTTCATTCTATGTACTTTCAGCATAGGTAAGCTTGGTGAGTTGTGTAAGGGAAAAATATGTATTAAACAATTACATTAAATCAGAAAACTTCATTGTCTATCAACTGCTCTAAGAAATTAATTTATGATTTAATGAAAATGACGAGGGAATGAATAAATCACAGAAAATCACTATTACAGGAAACAAAAAATAGAACAGATATCTTCAAAGTATTTTCCTAATAATGAGAGTACATCAGAACTATTTAACGAAGCTAGAAGAACAAGGTGAGGATATTTGAGCTTACATACATATTAGAGATACAAATTGTCAGCTGATAGACCGCATCATCCAATCATTTAATTAGATTATGAAGTTTTGCATAGTGGACTGACTTTGGTTAGACAATAATTGAAAGTCAGAGAGCACGTAACAATTGTTACATCCTAGTACAATGGTACATATCCACGGTTTCACTAGAGATGGAATCCAGGACATCTAGACTCCTCAGAGGACGCTTAACAAGAATCTGAATTCGATGAGTCAGAATAACATAAGCATAGAAATTTAGCTTGATATGGAATGCTGGAATTATACCAGAAGAATTATTCTAAACATGTAGCGGGAAATAAACGTATATTAGGATAGGACACAACGACAGGTCACAAGAGGGATGTAAATTAGTTAAGTAAGATAGGTTGATGTAACACTACTCATAAATTCGCCAATAAAAAGTTGAACATTTATTCAAGGTACATGAAACCAAAGAATAGAAATTATTATAACTTCAAGCTAATAATTATCAAACTGGAACTATCATGTCTTTGAGCCCTTAGCCTCCGTTCAACCTAAACCTATGTCAACCAATAAAGAGTTTCTAGGTAGACAGTGGTAAGACATAACATATATTTCGGCCACTTCAGTCGATGAAGACTGATAGCTTTATTAATCGACCTGTCTTTTATAACTAGCACCGTACATTTTATCTCAACATTATTCACTTGATGGTTCCCACAATACGAGGACAATGCTTCAAAGATAACTATGGTGACAGTATTGGATTCTATAAATGCTTTCTACTAATTCATTTTCAGTTTTACAGCTGTAGAGTAATATAACAGGGACTAATGCACATTGTACTCCCCCACTGATAGGCAAACGAATATAAAGTTTACATCACAGATGATAAAAGTTAACAAAAGTCAGTGACATTTTGTATTCGTGCAGAGATTTCGTAGATCATCTCTCTCTAAATTTTCAATTTCGTCTAAAAAAAGGAGTCATATTGGCCAGTACAGTATTCAACTATTAAACTAATTGATTAACCAAAAACTTACATATCTTGTTAACACATCATTAGCAATGATCTACGTAACACGGAACTATATGCATTGTATAATACATATTTTACAGTATAGGGTTGCGGAGATTGTTAAGTTTTGATTGGAATCATGAATGGATCAACGTTAGACCACCATTGAAAATCTGAAAGCACTGGATGACTGTTTCGTCCTCTAGTACGAAACTCCTCGGCAGTACGCGCCCACTATCCTTCACGTGGGATTCGGAACCAGTACCTTCGGCCTCATGCGCGAACGCCTAGCCTCTGGACCACTGGGCCGGCATTCACCGGCATTAATATCTAACCTCAACCAATCCAGGATATTGCGCAGCCGTTCTCTATTGTCTTCAGTGAGTAACTACCTCACACCAGATACGGTTGAGCCCCACTGGTTGTGGCTTCTCAATAGAACTCTAGGAAATTCATCTCGAAGTCAGCCACTAGTTAGCACATGATAATCATCAGTAAACTGTTGTGGAGATTATTGAATTTTGATTGAGATCATGCTGAGGAGTCCCACACTAAAACGAAACAGCTATCCAGTGCTTCCAGGTTTCAATGGTGGTCTAACATTGATCCCTACATGATCTCAATAAAAAAATATATTATACAGCAAAATATGATTTGCGTACAGTTGATGAGAGCGTTTGTAATAGTTATTATGGTGACCATACCATTAGAAATTGGTTGATAAGCAGTTCTTATTATAGATTTTAGTATCATGTCATGAAAGTAGGATAAGATTTCCAAGAATCTGTAACAGATAGATTAATCAGTCAGATAATATGGGGAAATAATGTTAGGGAACGGGAAAGAGCTATCTTATAATGTCCTTTACTTGGTTAATGAGCAGGTGGAAAGATAACATTTTGAATATTTATTTGAAATGTTTTCCACAGCCTTCTCTTGAAGTTTATGAATTATAAAATTAAAGTATACTCAGTACAGCAACTCATACTCATATTTGACTTCAAAACAATTTTCGCTATAAATGCTGTCACATAATAATTATTTTTTTCCCTAAATAACTGCACATAGATTTGTTTTGTTTGTTGCAACAGATCATTATGTCAATTAATTGCACAACCTATTCAGATGCATTTGTGAAAAATTCACGATCTTTCGCTGTACAAGTTAGGAAAGAGCACAATCAGCGACATTCTGGTTGCTGGCAATACACATTCAAATGTCAATTCCTGAACTGCTAACATCTAATTAGCAATCACTCAATATTTATCGTCAGGATCGATCAAGAAATAAGAAAAGGAAACTTGTTGGAATACTTTATGTTGAGAATTCTATATTGTACCAAAAATGAAATATTGGATAAAGCTAATAATGACAAAAAAATAAAATAAATTTCTGTTTATTCAAACGTTTAAATGAAATAAAGGGGACCAGTGAAATGATTTATTAATTCGTATTGGAGATTAATTAATTTCATGTAACGATTTTTTCAACAGTAAATGAATTTTATTAGTCAGATATAACAACCAAGTTTTTTTATTCGATTTCATAATTAGTAGTATTTATTCTATAGAGAGATGTATTGAAAGATATTGACCAAAAGTCTATCCGAGGAGTATTTAAAACCTAAAGAAAAATTATACTTCTTAAACATTATAGGCTAATTTATAACTGTGGCATTAAATTACACTGATTTGAAATACTCAATGAATTTAAATCGTCTTAAAGCTTAATATAATCTCAATAATCTGGAGATTGCAGCAAACAAAGATTTGCCGTTTGACCTGAACTAACCCAGGTTGATAAAAATTACACACAGTTGATTAATGTTGTAAAAATGAATATATATCTTTACATATTTTGAAAAACAGATCTATACAGAGCTATGTATATATATGTACAGTAAGTTACCTATCTATTTGTTCGGTGTATTGAATTTCAAATGTGATAAATTAACTAATAAAATCACTAACTTTAATTTAGTCATTATTTGTTTACTTTAGTGTAAATAAACATTAACTGGTGAAGATCATCATCGTCAATAACAACAAACTATTTTTAGAAATAAATTCAACTTAGTATTGTTTGTTTGAATCTTCCCATCGATTTTGTTAGGACTGCAACTGGTCAGTCTCTAATTGGCATATGTGCATACTGTGCGTATTGCCTCGATATACCTTAATTCACAAGCATGGTTAGCAGAGATGGATAGTGGCTAGCAGTGGAATCCAGGACGCGCGTTTCGTCCTATTTGGGACTCGTCAGCTGGGTGTACCTGCATTTCAGAGTTGATGTTCACTTAGGGACTCGAACCCAGTACCCTCGCCTCAAACGCCATCGCGTTATCCACTCGGCCACTGAGTCCTGATAGCCACTTGATTGTCGATGGGGTGAAGTTTAAATTCAACTTAGTATTGTTTGTTTGAATCTTTCCATCGATTTTGTTAGGACTGCAAGTGGTCAGTCTCTAATTTTTTTTAGAAATAAATAAAAATTATATTTATATATGGTTGAAATCATGAGTCAATTGAAGCTAGACCACCGTGGAAAACCTGGAAGCACTGGATGGCCGTTTCGTTCTACTGTGGGACTCCTCAGTAGTGCGCATCCACGATATTTCTTAAATCTAGTTTTACAACATAAAGGGATTTCTTCTAAATGACTCAGGCAAAGAAAATACATAGAAACAAAACATTCTGAAAAAATGATTAGGTAAAGAATATATTTATTTTTCATTTCTTTTCGTAATAAAATGAATCATACAATCTTATAAGAATGATAGTTCTACGAATAACTCGGTTGTAAGTTATACCTATATATTATTTGAGATCTAATTCTATTTCTTGGCTATTACAACTCATTTCGATAATGTCACTGTCAAATTGATTCTAACTATTGAGTGCTGGATGTTTTTGGATCATTCAACCTAAGATTAATGGGTTAAACCAACACTTAATTTTCAATCAGTAAGCTGTAGATTCGAGACCTTGATTCACATACTTCGGTTTCGGCAATTATATAGATAGTATTATTAGCACTCATACAAACAATTATGAAACATTGAGTGGACTGATTTGCATAGCAGATTCTAGGGAGACATTTATAAACTATTAGAGTTACTTTGAGATATAACAAAAAACATTCGATTTCTCGCTTGAAATGTTAGTGACAAGTGAGCTATAAAAATTGACCACTAACTGAACTACGATGATACTATCTTCCCAATCAATAAACACGAAAATCCAAATTAATAACCCAACTACTTCATATTAAAAAATATTTATTTTTTATACTTTTCTTCTGACGCACAAATCAATACAGTGACATGTCATACAAATTAAATTTGACCAAGAATAACTTAACACTGACATGTTAAACTTATTATGATTTTGATTGTACTAAAAAACGTTTTATAAACAACATTACAAACATAGATATAGGGTGTTTGTTGCTGATGTGTAGTTTTTGAGATATGGTGAATTTATGTTATTCTACAGATCTCGATTTTTCTCGCTTTATTTAATTATGTCTATCATCTCAGTTTAGTTTTTTATATAATCGAATTAATAGCAAACCATCTAGACATTTGCATTTAGAAGAATTTTATGAAGGCACTAAACAAGATTTGTAGCGTTCATCCAAAGAAAGAAATTTATGAATGAATGGAACTGAAAGATGATTGCACCAATCAATACTATGTCATGGTGATAATTATATTCTCATAATTGGTCAATTAACCTTTTGTGCATTAATCTGCCTAACATCAAATAATGGGTTTAGTCTTATTTAAACACTTAATAACTGCAGTTTGCACAATGACATCATAATCGCGTGTAACGACAAAATGATGAGTTATCACTTAACCTATTAAGTATTCACTTTGGATGATTGAAGGGAGTCATTTTATGTTAATGCATCTGTTAGTATATGCGTTGTTGACAGTTTAAATAGAACTATGCGTTTATCTCAACAAACCCAGTTCTACTATTTTGTGTTATAAAACCCTTCTGCTTAACGAATGAATCTCTTCAGCAAACATTCACTGACTGTCTTCAATTATTTCGCCATTGTCTAGACTGATATACCTCGGTGGCAATCAGATATTTATTTCAAAGCTCAATGTTATCCCCGATATAATCAAGTACTATCACACCAAATGTTTAAACAGCTTCAGAAATACAGTGAATTTTGAAATTCAAGTTGCTGGTTTTCAAACTATTCAAAAACACTACATAAAAAGTATATTGGGAGAAATTTTAGTCATTAAAAATAATGTTTTCTTAAAAGGTTCACATCATTTCGAGGTATCTACTGAATAGAAATTTGAAAGCATTGGAGTATAAGAGCATTGTTTCATCATAATAAATGACTTAAAATTAGGACGCATTCATGGATTCTGTAAGAAATAGCCTCTATGGATCTCAGAAACTTTATTGGAAGCACGAGTTTTTCTTATTTATTCAGTCGGTGTTCACAGATCCAATCATTATATCTAGCTTCAGAATCTTAAGTTATACGTGCCATTGTGAACACAAAGATTTCAGTCAAACTTATCATTAACAATTTAAATGATTGTCCTCAAGCTATTTTATAGAAAGAATTGAAAGGTTTGCATACTAACAGATTGGTAGGTTTTGACTGACTAGCATTCAAATTAAAACTTAACAATATTCGGAATATTAAAGATTCCGATTATGAGGATTAGAACAACACATGTAAGCGAACAATTGTTTTCAATTTGATTGTCATCAGGCTTTACTATAATATACATGAATATTCATACAAAAATTTTAGACCAAACAAGGCTATTTGAGTCAATAATCAATAATATTCGAAATAATATTCGACAGTCTGAAGTAAGCTGAAACGTAGGCATGCACTATGGATACTGAGTGAATTGGTAGTAATAAACCTGGTCAAAACAAGTAATATTTAATAATACTGAAATAAAAATGGTCATAGATTTGCACCAATTCAATCTTAATAAACGTTATTTTAGTCAGAAAACAGAGGAATACGTAGGAATGTATGAGACTTAATTAGTATATTGTGTAGTTAAGAAAACAAAACATGTAAAACCCAAGGAAATCCATCTTAGTAAATATTGAGTGTCATTTGCCATATTTTTCCCTAATGAGCTGATGTTACTGATCAATATTACTTTATATCACTGAAACAATTAATTAAAAAGGTTTATAAAACATTTATATATGTAAGGATCTATAAAGTTGTGCATTTAAACACGTTAATATACATGAGTACTAAAACAACACCTATCAGTAGATTAATCAATCTTCAAACTTCTAGAATTCATTTTTCGATAAACCTAAACAACTGAAGGCTAATTTCGATAATCGTTATAATCTATGATTCTTATTATACAGTTCACTAACTACTACTGACTTTAAAGTAGTATACGACTAATAAAACTTTTAGGAAATAATATAAAATTTGTTTTTAGCTACTTGAATACGTGAAATGAGAACTTCAAGGTCAGTTATATTGTTCAAACAAGTTTAGTAATGATTGGTCCACGAAGATAAATTCAATGACATAAAACATTTACGCATATCAATTACCGTGTTTAATTCAGTATTCCTTTTGCTAACACTCAATCTTTTAGGTATTAACTTGTTACAATCCCTTTGACTATCGTTATCATCATAGTTCACAGATTTCATAAGTTTTTTCACTCGACAATCGGCAGCACCTTGTAACGCTTTTACTACTCTCTGTGATTGTACATATTTACGATGTTCATTTAATCTTCCACTGTTTACACATTGTTGTAATCCATCTAAGTGTTGTTCATGTCTTCCTAAATCCAGAAAACGTCTATGCTAAAAAGATTTTTAAAAAATGGAAGTAAACAAATGGGAGTACAATAATAAGGAAAAGACTGCGAAAGAGAAAAAAACATCAAAAATTACACATCAATACTCGTAAGTCAGTATAGCCTAATGGAACTGATGTCTATGAATAACAGGACCGGGTGACGGCCCAGTCATAAAAGAGTTAGTTTAGCGACGTACCACACCAAGAGATTTTAAATTAAGATTAGTCTGCCATAGATATTAATTATTCTCTAACTAATGTCAACTTTGTAATATCTGTACATATGACAAGACAAGAAAGTGAAGCGATCCGAGAAATTCATCAGATAACTATATTCTTGTTAGTCTGAATCTCATATATATATATATGCACAAGACCGAAGGTCTTGAGTTTGGTCCCCTAGTGCGGCGTCGTGGATTCGCACTGCTGAGGAGTCCCATACTGAGATCAGACAGCTATCAGTTAGGAAAGTAAATAGAAACAGGAATTAATGAAACTTTTATTTCATTGATTAGTAGCCTAGCATGTTAATGTTTAATTAGGTCGTACAGTATAATGGCTGTGAAAGTATAGTAGGACAATTGCATTTTCTCCTCGTAATTTGTAATGGAAATAACATGTCCTGAATGTTGTGAAGAGGCAAAAGAACACCAAGTTTGTTGACACCGTCCATCTGTGTAGTTGTATATCACTTTATTCAATAAGCTGATGAGTCCTTTTGAAAGTCATTGATACGTACGCTTAGTGTTTATTTAACTCATAGAGTTTTCTAATAACAAATCATGATTTTTTAATAGAGATTGTATCTTACAATTACATAACTCTTAAGAGTTAGTGCTGATAAGATATCAAGAGTATATAGAAACCGTGTTTCTTACTGTTTCAAATATCTCAGTACGAATCAGTACCAGTACTCATTTTTCAATATTAACATTTAATTGACTGATTAAATATGAAAAGCTCTACTAATAAACAATGCCTAAAATTCAGCTACATTCGTAATTGTACGTGACGAGAATAAATTAACACTAGTCTATGTGTGTGTTGACCTTTGTCTTTGTAAATAATCCATTTTATTGACAGATAATTCCTATTTTTAATCCATTTTATGTCTGATCTGATCATTGCATGTCGACATATAATCTTAACTCACCATTTACGTACCAGCGTATTAAGTAACCTGAGTAAATTCTATTTGATACAGCCGGTTTTCAGAAGAAAAAATTACTCGAAATGACCAATTATAAATTACAGGGATTACCTTTGTGTTGTGATCCAGAGTCGGTTGCAGGGGTACAGAGATATTCACTCTTTGTCTACATATACATCCTGAGTTTCAAAATTATTTTATACTTTTTTTTTATGAATTATTTCTTGTTTCTCTATATCAAATCACTTTTTTACTGTTAATGCTACTGCTAATGTTACTCTGATATTTATCGTGACAAATTCATGATAATAATAATAATAATAATAATAATAATAATAGTAATGATAATGTCGTCGTGTTGTTAGGGCTTATGAATTTGAAGATTTGCATACTTATACCAGATTCTTGCACCGTTTATATCTGACTGACTCATTCTTGATAAAAATACGATTATATTCAAGGATTAAGTGTGTATTGAATCAATAAATCGTCAATAAAGTACACTTTTCTACCTAAATATTTTCATTGTAAAAGCTTTGAAGAAACGTGCTTAAATTAAAAAATCACCAAAAGTAAATGACGCGAATGATGAAGGCTAATTGGATGACAAAGAAGTATTTGTCTTGTACTTTATAGCTAGTTAAGATAATAAAGTAAACCACACTTATCTGAGCCTTTCCACTATGCTAAGATAAGAGAGAGAAAAAGTCAAGATTTCAATTCAATTGAATTCTATTTCTGTTTCAATATTCTGATAGCAACATGAGAGATAGTGAAGGTTATACAATATCCTAGTAATTTAAAATTATTTTTCAATCAATTTCACATTTTTGAATCATCTAAAATTATAAAACTATTCACTTATCTAAATAACCAATTAAGGTTTGTTTGTAGAATCACTTATTAAATTTAATATTTGTTTCGGAATGACGTAAATAATCGACAGTACTATCCATTAAACTAATTCTTAGACAGATCAAACTATTTAGAAAAAAAATATTTTTCATCATCATCATGTATGGAATGATATCAAACATGAAGAATTAGTGTAAATGGGGTAAAAAAAAACTGAGATTAGATATCGCATCATCAAAAAATATCATTAAAATTAAAACAGTGAGAGAATGGATACACTTACTGTTGAAAAATAGTCAGTCAATCAAGTTATGTTCAGAGTATAGCCTAAAGCATATATGCATCATTCCAAGTTGGCATAATTTATTACCACAGGGAGATGAAATTCTCAAAACAAATCCAAGAATAGTGGAAATAGTAACACTATCAGTAGTAATAATAGCTATGATTAGGTGTAGTAAAAGAAAAGGTATGGGGAGATTTCGGGATTAAGGTTCTAAGAGAAGAAAAATAGTGAGTGCATTTGAGCCACCATGAACAATTCTAAGACATGTCATTCAAAGTCTTCAACCATTGGTTAGGATGATCACACGAACTCCAATCAGATAGTCTACATCTATTAACATAGTTCAGTTCAATTTTCAGTATCTTCCTGAACTGATGGACTGTTTGTTTTAAGCTTTCTTTCAGCCTATTCTTACATCAGACAACATCGTCTATCGAAGTAGGCAGTAGTTGAGCATATACAATATATATCATGAAAAATGGTGTTCGTAGTGACTATGCATTAATCAAATAAAATTAGTAAGAGTATTTATCCTATGCTGTATGTGAATCTGTCAATAAAATTATAACATGGTTGATATGAAGGCTAACAGTCGTTATTTCAATTTTTCCAACGTATTTAAAAAACATCATATTACACTCTGGTAAGTGTTAAGACTTGACTACAGTAGATTACCATTTTTGTTATGAAATTGTTTTCCAGTTAGCATAAGTGTGTCTGTAGCTGTCTAATACTATTGATTAAATTTTTTAAACTTAAGGAAAACACAAAATAAAAATTATAAGCAAAGATTGATAGTAGCTAGCAGTGGAATCCAGGACGCGCATTTCGTCCTATTTGGGACTTGTCAGCTAGATGCACTTGCATCTCAGAGTTGATGTTCACTCTGGGACTCGAACCCAGTATCTTTCGCTTCAAACGCCACCGCGTTACCCACTCAGCTACTGAGTCCTGATAGCCACCTGCTAGTGCAATGGGATGAAGTTTAAATTCACTTAGTATTGTTTGTTTGAATCTTCCCATCGATGTTTTTAGGACTGCAATTGGTCAGTCTCTAATTGGCATATGTGCATACTGTGCGTATTGCCTCGATATACCTTAATTCACAAGCATGGTAAGCAGAGATGGATAGTGGCTAGCAGTGGAACTTTACCCCATCACACAAGCAAGTGGCTATCAGGTCTCAGTGGCCGAGTGGATAACGCGATGGAATTTGAAGCGAACGGTACTGGGTTCGAGTCCCACAGTGAATATCAACTCTCAGATGCTGGTACATCCAGCTGACGAGTCCCAAATAGAATGAAACGCGTGTTCTGGATTCCACTGATAGCCGCTATCCATTTTTGCTTATAATGCTTGTGAATTAAGGCTATATCGAGGCAATACGCACAGTATGCACATATGGCCAATTAGAGACTGACCAGTTGCAGTCCTAAAAACATCAATGGGAAGATTCAAACAAACAATACTAAGTGAATTTACAAAATAAAAAATTCACTAACTTAAGTTTATGAATAAATACACAAATAAAAATAATATCCAACACAATTTCGGTAGAATTAAGATAATATTTTCAGATGTGTACATATTTTCACATAGAATATGAAACGGAATAAACGAAAAAAAGAAACATGATGTTTGTGTTTTATTATTTCAATATGAACTACTGAAGTAACAAAAATACTAATCTAAACTGTATTAGATATTACAATTCTACATGAAGTAGGCTATCTAGATTTACAATGAAAGACTCTCGAGTAAACTGTTCATATGAAAGAATGTAACACTATGAAAAACCATGGATTTTCTTCATTACTTGAAAATTTAAGAATAATACATGAAATAAAAAAACAACTTTCATAATGTTACAATTAGTGCAACTGTAGCAAGAAAACTGGTTATTCGCTACTTGTTTATTATAACTGGACAAATATTGATATAGCACGATATAAGTAAAAAAGATGAAGTCGATGGATGATAGGGTAAGATTTATTATCCGCCAAAAAATTAGATTTAAACTGTCTGAATACACTATGTTTTATATGTTGTACTTATACTGATCAATGCTTAAACTTGAATAAATTGAACTGAGTAGTAATAATTGTAGTATTTAATACATGACTTACAGTGTGTACAATAGACTAAGTTGTTTTAACTGATAAATATAAATTAATTACTGAGTTATATGATTATAACTTCCTAACAGTAATGAACGATAGTGACAAAATAGACGCATTCAATGTCACTACCCTCGTTATTGCTTATGGACATTTCGATAATAATAAAGGTGAGCAACTTCGAGGAGTGAACCGAAAGTACTCTACTTTTTAACTGATTAGAGACTGAAACTAACTTCCCCTTCTTTATCTGCATCTGATAGCTGCTTGTCAGATGTAACTACAGCAAATAAAATCATAATTTTTCCAACATGGTAGTAACAGATTAAAGAGCTTTCATATTCTCAGGAGAAGTCAGAAATACGATACGACAAATTGGTTTATATAGTAACAACGATGACCCTGAGAGTATACAAAATAACATACTAAAAATGAAAATAAGCAGTCAGCAAATAACGAAAGTCAACTTAGCAACTGTAATAAATGTAGGTGTTATCGTTGACTTGCTTATTCACCGGAATTACAAATTATTGCCAAAAGCAAAAGAAAAAAAATCAGTTGAGATCTTGGTAACATAACTCTAAGATAACCAAGAAG